CCAGCTTGGACAAACAATTTTAGAGACTCCATTTCCAAAATATCCAGGCCAAAATGGACTAGAGGTGTGGCTCCAGTGGCAGAATGCCTGCTTTTCAAGTGCAAAGCCCTGAGTTCAAACTCTAGTCCTACCAAACAAGAACAGCAAAATTTAACTCTGTTAAGAGTTTGGTTTCCTTTTACAGTGATGACATAATTGGTGTCAACTTTGTTTCATCATTTAACATTATAAGCACTTGCTTCATTAAACCTCTTATGTATAATAATTATAATGGTAATATAATAAGTGATCATATGAAATCCCACAAGTGTCTGGGATGTTACCTTGTGTTAAGTATTTGTATAGTTTCCTTTAAAAAAATTACTAACTCTGTGCATCTGGCTTCATGCTCCAAACTATTCCTCTAGGACAAATGCTTTAATGAGAATTGACTCAGTATATAATCAATAATTATTGTAATTGAAATGATAACTCACTATAATTGATTCTATATCTATCTCTTTATCTATCTATCGATCTATCTATCTGTCTCTCTAGCTATCTATATTTTGGTGATATTGGGGTTTGAACTCTGAGTGTCACACTTGCTAGGCAGGCACTCTACCACTTAAGCCACTCCACCAGTCCTTTGTTTTGTTGGGTATTTTCGAGATAGGGTCTTGTGAACTATTTGCTGGGGATGGCTTCCAGCTGTGATCCTCCTAATCTCTGCCTCCTGACTAGCTAGGATTACAGGCATCAGGCACTAGTGCCTAGCTAATTCAGTACATATTTTAAGGACACTTTTTTCTCTCTAGAAAGGGAATGGCCCAACAGTATCTGTTCACTAAAATGATGATGCTTTTTTCTAGTTTGTAAGTACTATGAATCACTAGTCCTATAAATCTCACTCAGTAAATCTTTAGTCTTTGTAGCCTGATTATACAGTGCTAGACCTACACTGGTGTAGGTCCTGGGCATTAGTGGAGATTAAACAAAGTCAGTTGCTGCCTTCACGGAGCTTGGACAGCAAAAAACAAGTGAATACATGAGTAGACACATTACTGAAAGAACGGTGAGACCCCACCCTTAGAGACAGCAGTTCTCTGTATTGTCCTTCCCTTTTTCCCTTGTGTTTAGGAGATTTAATGTTTTGGGTAGAGGCTGTGCTGGTTATTCACATTTACCTTGCACACAGAGAGGTGTGGGGGTGTACTTTCAATGCTGGAATGTTACTTTATGTTAAGTGTTTGTGTTGTTTCCTTTTAAAAAATTCTTAAACCAGACTGCACACATCTTTATACTTTATGTTACAAACTATTTTCTAAGGGTAACTTCTTTCTTTCTTTCTTTTAGTTGTTGGGGCTTAAACTCAGGGCCTACACCTTGAGCCACTCCACCAGCCCTATTTTTGTGATGTTTTTTTTCGAGATAGGGTCTCATGAACTATTTGCCTGGGCTGACTTTGAATTGGGATCCTTTTGATCTCTGCCTCCTGAGTAGCTAGGATTACAGGAGTGCATCACCGGTGCCCAGTTTAAGGATAACTTCTTTAGTGGGATATTACACATACATATAACATTTTAAAACTCTTCTAGAAAATCAGCAACTTTTTAGAAGAGAAAGGAAAGGAAATTCACTTTTCAAGGAACAAAATATTCTTAGAAACTCCCAAACTGAAATTGACCTTCCATGATGCCATCCACCCCCTACCCAGGTGGAGCTGTGCCAAGTCACTCTGCATTATCAGATGCCAGCACAGAGACAGAAGCATTTATAAAGGAAAGAACAACTTTGTTTGAAAAAGGTCTGATTTGATAGACAAAAACAAAACAACCACCACAACAACAAAACAAAGCAAGTACTTAAAGGAAAAACTACAAATTGACAGGAATACTAAGTTTGCATTATTCTACATGATCGAAAACAAGTCCTTAAGTGATTATCATATGTGTAAAGACCATGACATATCTTCAGATATCAACAGAGCAAATCCCATCAAAAATATATTTCCATTTTGGGTGATCCTGTTAACTCAGGGTGAAAAGTGCAAAGTAATGTTTTTCTGCCCACCATGGCAGATGAAATGCCTTATGAACTGAAATGTTTATATTCTTGTCCAAATCATTTCTTAAAACTATAACTCTGCAATGTGATGTATTAGTAAGTAGGGACTTAAGAAGTAATTGCCTTTAGGTGAGCTCACGGACATGAATATCCCATAAAGGGGTGAAAGTTCTATAAAAAAGGAAGAGGCACTATAGCTTCCTCCCTCTGCCATGTGAAGGCAATAATTTGCCACCTGGACCAAGGGCTATCACAGAGAACCAAATCTGCAGCATCTTTAACTTGGACTTCTCAGGTTCTAGACTGTGAGCAATGAAAGTCTGTTGTTTGAGTGACCCAGTCTATGGTGTCTTTATATAACATCCCAAACTAAGTCAAGTGTTTACTCATTAGAGCAAAGTCATGTGTCAGTTTTTGCTTCCTTGGGAGATGTGGTGGTGATGGTGTGTGTTTGTATGCATGTTTGTATGTGTGTTATATTTGTGTACATTTGTGTGTCTGGCTCTAATTTGGTAGATACCACATAAACTTGCCCTGGAATGCATTTTTACTGATCATAGCAATAGAAACAAAACTAAATATACCCTAACATAAATTAAAATATAAGATTTTTTTTCCCTTTAAGCATTCAATAGTTATTTATTAAAATCTGTTGTATGTAACTCACCATGGACTGGCATTTTGTGTTGGGACAAATTACAGAAGTGAGGACAGAATGTATGGAACCCATGAGGGGTGGTGAGGCACTCAAGGCCAGCAGTGGTGGGAGGCTGTTTCTACCCATGGGCCTGAAGTGGCAAGATGAAAGAACAGTGTCACTGCAGCCCAGCTATAATTTGAACTATGGAAGACAGGTCACCTTCCCAGAGCTGTGGTCATAGAACCCAGGGAGTAGAGAGAGGAAGTGATAGTGGAGATGGTAGAGAATAAATACCATGCCTCTCTTTATGCTCCTCTGTATTTTTCTGCCCATTTCTGTCTTTGGCCAAATTCAATCAGAAGCCAGAGGGTGAGGGATCTCACATGATGCAGTCCTTAAAGATCAGCCTCCCATGGGGCAGAGCAGGGTGGGGATAGATCTGGGAACAGTTGGACAATAACCAGCAAAGCCTTCCCTTTGTTAATCTTCAAAAGGCAGAACAAGTTCTCTAAGTATCAAAAATGGAGTGTCCAGAGAGGTAGAGGACCGAGGGTGAGGAATCATTTGACCAGGGGTCAAGGAAAAGGGAGTAGCTTAGAGCTTCAAATGGAGACATAAATGACTCAGGTTTTGGGACATTATTGGTGACCTTCATTAAGGTGGCCTCAAAGTGTAAAGGGATTAGGTGGAAACCAGATTGTTTGTGATAAGGAAAGAATAGGAAATGACTGTTGTGGGAAGGTCAGGGAGGTTCTGGAGACAACATAACATTCCTGGCAATTGTTTTATACTATGGGAGATAAAGTTGCTGTAGAGTAGGAAACAGAGGCTGAGCAAACACCTTATGGAGCAAGATTTCAGAGGAAGGAAGAGGGGCTGAGAGCATTGCTGTGCAGAGGAGAAGGGATAGTGAGGCATATGGAGATGTGTTATGGATTCAAGGTAGGCAGAGAATGTTGTAGATTCAGAGATGGTGAGAATGACAGTAAGTTGCCTCTAGGCAGCTTGGGCTAGTTTTTTTCTGTGCGATTGGAGACTGGGTCATTAGTGATGGAGGAGGTAGACGAGAAGACTTGAAAAGACTAGAAACATTTGTACCAGTCTTGGTAAAGATCAGAAAAGGGAGCTGTCTCAGGATTGAGGATGGTGTTTGAGTTGATTGTGACATTCAGTCTCTGCTGTGCTACCAGTAAGCAGAGATTTGTGAACTTTTTCAGCCATGTTCAGCCTAGAATAGAGGTAGTGAATATTATGGAAGGTAACAGGGCTGATAGGAGGTCAAGGAGTCAAGGATGGTCAATCTTGATGGGAGATTAATGGAAGAGATGTATTAGAGGTCTTGGAGCAGAGAGTATATCTCCAAAGAGGCTTATTTTGTGGAGCTGGAGATGTCAATGTAGTCTTGAAGAGGTGGAAGAAGAGATGGAAAGCGACAACATTCTTAAGAGGTATGTTCTGCTATTATGAAGAAATTAAAGCAGAAGAAAGATTCCACAAATTGCCCAAGACCGTATTGTTGGTTCATCCAATCAAAGATCAGCACCTAGACAGTGCAATTCCAGAGATTGTGCTCTTGATAACTAGGCAAGGAGTCAAGGAAGGGGTGGTATTACAGTTTGGGAATGGTATGCTATAGTTTTATAATTTTAGTGCTGACTTGAAGAAGTGTTTGAATACCAACTCATAAAACATTGTTCAAAATATCCACTAAATTGAAACAGTTCATTGTGTATGAACTGATGAACGAATAAGATATGTAGCATATATATAATGAAATCTTATTCAGCCATAAAATAATATAGCTTTGACTTATACTATAACATGGATGGACCTTGAAAAATTATACTTAATGAAATAAGCCAGACATGGTAGGACAAATATCATTTGATTCCATTTATATCAAGGTACTAAGACAAGGCAAATTCATAGAGCTAGAAAAAAATAGAGGTCACATTTATTATGGGTATGGAGTTCTAGTTTGGAATGATAAAAAAGAGATGTAATGGTTATATAACATTGTGAACATAGTTAATAACACTGAATTATGTATTTATAATGCTTAAAATGATAGTTGTATATATTGTATCACAATTAAAGTTTTCAGCAGTCAGCTATTTCTGGGTGATTATTATACAAAAGCTGTCAAAGTGAACTGCTGAAACTTAGACTGAGTGTAAAGAGGGTCACAGTTGAGGAGGTAGAAGATTGGTGAGGCCAGGAGTTGAGTAGATTATCCAGCCATGATGTCTGGTCCTGACATTTATCTATCTTCAGGGGCAGCACCTGTGCCATTAGAAGGCCCAATGCATTGAACATGGAGAAAGCAAATCAAACTGGGATGATCCTCTTCCACTTTCACCCCTTCTCTAAACTCCATGAAGTGCAGGTGCTGATCTTTGTGGTCTTTCTCATTATGTACCTGGTCAGCATCAGTGGAAGCGTCTCCATTTTCCTCACCATCTGGATCACCAGGTGTCTCCACACTCCCATGTACTTTTTCCTGGCAAATCTGGCAGTTCTGGAGATCTTCTACTCTTCCACCATTGCCCCTCTGACTCTGGCCAGCGTCTTGTCCACAGAGAGAACCCTCATCTCCCTGCCGGGCTGTGGTGCCCAGATGTTCTTCTTCATCTTCCTGGGCAGCACTGACTGCATTTTGCTTGCCGTCATGGCCTATGACAGGTTTGTGGCCATCTGTCACCCTTTGCACTACACGCTCATCATGAGTTGGCGTTTGTGTGTCCAGCTGGCTGTGGGGTCTCTGTTGCTGGGGTTCACTTTGGCCATGCAGCTGACTGTGCTCATTTTCCAACTTCCTTTCTGCAGCAGCAAAGAAATCAGCTTATTCTACTGTGATGTCCTCCCTGTCATGAGACTGGCCTGTGCAGACACCCATGTGCATGAGGCCACTCTGTTTGTGGTCAGTGTCACCGTCCTCACTATTCCCTTCCTGCTCATCACTCTCTCCTATATTTTCATTGGTGCTGCCATTCTGAAGATCCATTCAGCAGAGGGGAGGCACAGGGCCTTCTCCACCTGTTCCTCCCACTTGTCTGTGGTCCTTCTCCAATACGGATGTGGAAGCCTCATCTACTTGTGTCCCAGCTCCAGCTACTCTCCTGAGAGGGGCCAGGTAGTGTCTGTGGTTTACACATTCATCACCCCTGTGCTGAACCCCTTGATCTACAGCATGAGGAACAGAGAGCTTAAGGATGCTTTGAAGAGAGCAATGATGAGGCTTCTTCTTCTCTAAACAGAGAGGGCACGCTGCATGTTACTATCCAACATTGCTTGGTAGAGAAGCTGAGTTGACTGTCTGCAAGATGAGGAGGTGGAGGTGGCACATTATTTAGTCTTCCTTTGTTGTATTACTTTTGAAAAGTCATTTCTTTTTCTCAGCCTCAAGTTAGTCATGCTCCAAAATGGTGATGAAAATGCTTCCAGTATTTAAATTTTAGGATAGTCATGATAATCAAGAGATGTACTAAGTGAAAATAATGTGTAACATCAAGAAAAAGATACATCAATGAATGTGGTTATTACCATTCTAGACATCATATATAAAGTCTGTGTCTTACCTTGGACTTATCTTCAGATACATTCTTTGATTGTTAGCTGTCCCAAACTTGACACATCTATGGAGGGTCAAACCAGCAATAAGATGCAAACCAAACTGGGAACATTCCAAATACTTTCTTTATTCACATTGTGTAAATACAGAGTGTAAAAAATTAATCTTTCATCCTAATTTCTTTTCAGGTAGATTCTGAGGAAAGCTCTGGGTCCAGGTTTTTGTGATCTTTACTTACTTTTATATTTGGAACTAACCTGTTTCATCACTATCCTCTAGGTTATTCTCCACATACACATTTTCCCTTAGCTTTATATGTATAATATACAATATGGAGTATGGGAAATTTGCCTTGTTAATTGAGACTATGGGGTTGGAAAGAGGAAATATTGATTCAAATCTGGAGTCACATAAAGCAAAACTAATTTGTAAAGATAAACACTGCCTAGACACTCTGAGGAAGGAACGTGATTCTTAATGGGAAGGTAATCCTTTACTGTATGGTCATATGCTCAAGGCAATGGTACCAGAACATAGATGGTTTACCATTTTTTTACATTTTATTAGAGTATATTAGTTGTGCAGTGGTTTTCATTGTGACATTTACGTACGTGCTCACAGTGTATCTTGATTAGATTCACCCCCTCTATTATTCTCCCTCATTCCTCCTCCCCCTTTCTTTTTTTTTTTTTGAAGTACTGGGGTTGAACTTGGTGCTTCACACTTGTTAGGCAGGCACTTTACCACTTGAGCCACTCTGCGAGCCCCCTCTCCCCTTTTCTTTGAACAATTTTGGTAAGTTTTATTATTCTATTTTCATACACAAATACAAAATACACCCAACATGCTCACCTTCTCTATTTATTCTCTTCCTTCCCTCTGATACCAACCATGCCCAGACAGTACCTGTTTCACCTTCCTGTCTTTCATTTTAAAAAATTGTATATTGATTGTTCTAGGGGTTTCACCTTGATATTTCACATATGTATATATTGTACTTTAAATAGATTAACTTCTTCTATTACTTACTCTTTCTCTGTTGCCCTGCTCCCCTACTACTGAACAGTTTTGAGTGCAGTTTGTTATACTGTCTTAACACACAAATGCAATGTATTTTGGCATTATTCACTCTTAATCTTTCTCTTTTCCTGTCTTGCCTCCCCTTCGTCCCCTGAGACAGACCCACTGTTACAATAACATTCTCTCACTCTCTCTATCTGTACATAAGATAATATATGCATTTATGTATAATTTCTCTGTTGGGTTTAGTTTCCACATATGAAGGAAAACATGTGACCTGGCTTACTTCGCTGGAAACAATGATCTCCAGTTCTATCCATTTACCAGCAGACAACTTAATTTCATTCTTCTTTATGACTGAAGAATGATATACTTCATGGTGTATATATGCCACATTTTCTTTTTTTGTGGTTCATAAATATTTATTATACTCCAGACCTCATCAGGATTTTTACTAGATTTTCCATTAAGTGCCCTTCTCAGTACATCACATCCCAGGAGAATGACATCTTTGCAATATCACTGGCCATGTGAATATTTTTAAAGTATTTATTAGTATAGTAAAGGGGGTTTCATTGTGACATTTCCACATATGCGTACAATGTACCCTGTTTTGTTCATCCCTCCATTCCTCACCCTCTTTCCTCACTTCCCTTTCTTAAAATGATTCTGACAGGTTTCAGTGTTCCATATTCACACATGTGTAGAAAATTCATTGAACATACTTAACCTCTTTTGCATTCCTTTTACCCCCCCTTCCTACTAGTACCATCCTCTTGTCATGACCTGTTTTATATTATTGTCCTTCATTAAATGTCTGTTCATTGTTCAGTGGGGTTTTGTCTTGGTATTTTACCTGTAAATATATTGTAATTTATTCAGTCTAAGCACCCTGTTATTCTTCCTTATGCTTCCCCCCGCCCTGTATTACTCAACAGTTTTCAGTGCCTTTTGTTGTGTCTTGCTCCTACACAGATGCAATATATTTCAATATTATTCACTCTCTATCATTTTCTCCTTCTTTCCCTCTTCCCTTAGTCTCCGATAAAAGTTCCACTATTTGAAACATGTACTGTATACATATGTATATTATGTATATATGGTAATGTTTGTATTTGTATTTGGGTCTATCTTCCACATGTGACCTTTGTCATTCTGAACCTGGCTTACTTTACTTAACATGATATTCTCTGGTTCTATCCATTTACTTGAGAATGACAAAATTTCTTCTTTATGGCTGAATAATATTCAATCTATTATCTCTCTCTCTCTCTCTCTCTCTCTCTCTCTCTCTCTCTCACACACACACACACACACACACACACACTTACATATTTATAGGACATCAGGGCTGTTTCCATGGATTGGCTATTGAGAATTAGTGCTGCAATAAACATGGATGTGCAAGTGACTCTACTGTATCCTGAGACACATTCCTTCAGATACATTCCCAAAGGTGGGATGACTGGATTGTATGGTAGGTATTTTAGTTTTTTTGAGGAACCTCCATATTGATTTCCACAGTAGTTATTCTAATTTACTTTCCCATCAACAGTGGATGAGCATTCCTTTTCCCCCACATCCTTGCCAGAACTTGTTGTTGTTTGTGTTAATGATTATAGTCATTCTGACTGGAGTGAGGTGAAATCTCAATGTCATTTTGATTTTCATTTTCTTTATGGTCAAGGGTGTTGAGCATTTCTTTATGCAGTTATTGGTCATTTGTACTTCTTCTTTTGAGGACTGTCTGTTCAGTTCATCTCCCCATTTATTTGTTGGGTTGTTGATTCTTTGCAGGGTCAATTTTTTGAGCTCCCTGTATGTTCTGGTTATTAACCCCTTGTCAGATGTATGGCTGGCAAAGATTTCTCTCCCATTCTGTAGATTGTCTCTTCAATCTAACAAACATTTCCTTTGCTGTGCAAAAGGCTTTTAGCTTTATGCAGTCCCATTTGCCAATCCTTTCTTTTAACTCTTGAGCTATTTGAGTTCTATTGATAATTACCTATGCCTGTTATGTTCCAGTGGATTCCCTATTCTTTCTTAGAATAATTTTACAGTTTTAGATGTTACACTAAGATCTTTGATCCACTTTGAATTGCTACTTATACAAGGTGAAAGGCTGGGATCTAGTTTCATTCTTCTGCAGTTGGATATCTAGTTTCCCAGCACCATTTGTTGAAGAGGCTACCTTTTCTCTAATGCATGTTTTAAGCTCCCATGTCACAAATCAAATGGCTATACCTGTGTGCATTTGTGTCTCGGTCTTCTATTCTGTTCCTTTGGTCTTCATGTCTGTTTTCCTGCCAGTTCTGTGCTATGGCTCTGTAGTATAGTTTGAAGTCAGGTTTTGTGTACCTCCAGTATTGTTCTTTTTGCTTAGGGTTGCTTTGGCTAATCAAAGTCTTTTTTGCTTCCATATGAACTTTAGGATTGACTTTCAATCAATCCTAACATTCTGATGGGGATGCATTGAACATATAGATTGCTTTTGGTAGTATAGACACTTTCACAATATTGATTCTGCTGATCAGTATGGGATATCCTATCATTTAATGCCTTCACTGATTGATTTCTTTAGTGATTTATAGTTTTTTATAAAACTATAGTTTCCTTCATTAAATTTACTTGTAGATATTTCAATTTGTTGATGCTATTCAGCCTGGTATATTTTTCTTATTTTTTTCTCAGAATGTTCTTTATTGGTGTATAAATAAGTAATTAATTTTTATGTATTGATTTTTGCATCCTGCTACTTTGCTGAAAGTGTTTATGAGATCTAAGATTTTTTTTGGTGGAATTTTTAGTGTCTTTTAGGTATAAGATCATATCATCTGCAAGTAGGAATAATATGACTTCTTCCTTCCCTACTGGAATTCCTTTTATTTATTTCTCCTGTCTTACTGCTTTGGATAGGAAGTCCAGTACTGTACTGAATAAGGGTGAGCATATAGGATACCCTTATTTTGTTCCTGATTTTAGAGGAAATGGTCTCATATGTTCCCTGCTTAGTATGATATTGGCTATGGGTTTGTCATATGTATGGCTTCATGTCATATATATGTATGTATATATGTATATATATAATATATATATATACATATAGGCATATATATAATATATAATGTTGAAGTATGTTCTTTCTACTCCTAGTTTCTTCAGAACTTTTATCATGAAAAGATGTTGAATTTTGTTGATGGCTTATTCATATATAATGTGGTTTTTGTCCTTGATTTTGTTTATGTGATGTATTATGTTTGTTGATTTGCACATCTTGTACCATCTTTGCAACCCAGGAATGAAACCTACTTGATCATGCTGTACAATTTTTTTTAATGCTCTTGATTTACCATTTGTGTGTAGAGTATAAACATTCATTAATTTTTTTATTCATTGAATATTTAGGTATTTATTCATTCAAGAATATTCAACAAGGCAATAAATCATCATTTATTTATTTACTATGCACACACATATAAGTGCAGCAGAAAGTGGGATGGTAAGTAAGAAGTAGTTCCTGTCTTGAAGGAACAGAAAAGATTTGAGAACTCAAACCACACTCATACCAAGAACCAACTGACACAGTACTATGAAACTGCAGAGGACGTGCAGTGGAGGGAATCAAGGCAAGTTTGATGGGGAGGTGGTGTTTAAGATGCACC